GAAAACGCTTTGTCTTAAAAGGACATTTACAGTTTGTCATACATTTGATAACCTTTTTTATTCTCAACAAACATAAAAACAACAATGAGGAAGTGGATCAAGTATCGTCAGATTACAGATCAGGGACAAGCTCAGTAAATGGCCCGACTGGGCAGAGGCCACACGGCTGGTCGATGGCGGAACTGTGGCTCAGACCTGGATCTCAGGACCCGAATCTATTTCCCTACATTTCTCTCTCAACTTGCCTGGAGGTGGAGGGCTGTTATAAAATTTCTTGCTTTTTTTCAAAATTGTTTTCAATGGCCTCTTGCTGGTGTCTACAAATTTCATCATCTTAGTCTTTAAAAATCTTCTTCATGTTTAGAAAAGACTCAGCTCAGAAAAAGCATTTATTCTCTCTTAATTGTATATTTCAGCTACAGCTAGAGGGATTTCAGATAGGTAGATATGGGACAAAATTTTGAAGAGGGAGAGGACTTAACTACTTAGAAAGGTTGTAGAATCGTTGAAATTATTCCCCCCGCCCCTTTTTTTCTTACGCAATTGGATAAATTCTTATCCTGGTAGGATGGTTTAACTATGACAAGGAATGGACTCTCTGTCCTTTCAGAACTCATTTTGGTCTTGTGATTTAACGGCATTTGGAGAATTTGGGCTTTCCAAAGCGACTGGATGAATGCATTAGTTGCTTCACAGAACAAAGTAATGATAAACTTTTTGTTGGTGAGCTCTGCATTGAGCAATCTGACATCTGTGGTTTGACAGAGGTCTCATTTTCTCAACGTTCACTTGAAATTTCAACCACAGTGCTTCTGTTTTTTGGTCATTGAAGTTAGCTAAACATCACTAAAGTTCTGGATAAAATAATCAGCTGCTCTCATAAGCTGGAAGAAATAGGGCAAGATAGCTTAGGCCAGATGACCTGGAGTCCTGCTGTATAAAAGCAAAACAAAATAGAATCCTGAATGCTCACGGTCAGCAGGACCACAAAGCAAAAATTACCAATGAAAACAATCCGTAAACATACGGCAGGTAGAGCCAACCACATAATGTTGAAGACAAGTCCTGGGTTTGTCATTTTAGACGCCGCACTTTCAAATTCTGAATTAGCCCATAAAACTTAGAAAAAAGACACTCTCACCTTAAGAAAAAAATGTAGAAGAGAGGCAATTAATTGTTAGTAATTAAAAAAAAAATCCAGGCAGAAGAGATTTCAGAGGGAAATGTTACAGATAAAGACAACAGAATAATTTCTAAACAAACAAGGCAGGCATATTTTTCACATACACTGGATGCCAAAGAGGGCAGAGAACAAAACTGAAACACGCCAGCTCTAACACACACAGAGGCACACGTACATAGATAGTCCAGTATGCTATGGTAGCCTGAGGCATGCCTTAATGTCCAGGGTAAACTAAATATAAGAAGCCCTTCTTTACCTCTACTCTCAAGAAACACACAGCTTTTCTGGCATGAATAGTTAACTTATTAGGTCAACCAGAAAAAGCACATTCATGAAACTGAACTGTACGGACAACGGCGGGCAGGCATTTTCCCCGGCCTTAAATCATCCCCTCTAAGAATGTCAGACACCGACCAACTTACATCCAGATATTGATAGATATTTGCATATAAGCTGTTATAAAGCCCTTCCCTGTCATATTTTGCAGATTTAAACATTTTTACTGTACAAGGACTTCATGTTTTATACACACACCTATACAGAAAAGCACGACAGCTCTTGCAAATATTGATACTTCCATACAATAAGCTTTGAAATGTAGTAGTGTTTTCTAGAGGAGGCAGGAGTTGAAGATTTATGCTATTTTCATTGGTTTATTATTAGGAGCCATAGGTCATCAGGCAAAAATTGGCAACATTAGGAAGAAGCTATTCCTATTTGTTCATCAAAATGTATTGAGCACGTGCCTATTATGTTGGTGTATTGAGCACCTATCTGTTATACTCATGGTGGCACACTCTATGCAAAGTTGCTTAGGATGAACCATTGGGTGAGACATCCTCTTGCACTGGATGGCAGTAAAAATGTATATGTGACCATATAAGTGGGTACCAATTGGCTACAGGGCTGTGGGGGCCCATGGGAAGCAAGAGTTCAAAGAAGCACAATGGCCAGCTAATAAGGGTGGGTGCAGAAGTCTGGACACTCAAACAGGTGAGGTCAGGATTTACAGAAGAGATGTGTATGGGCAAGTAGGAGATGGGGTTTTTAGCTTTATGACGTGTGCTCTTAAGTCTGGTTCTGCAGTACCACTGGTTAGAGGCCTGGAGCTCTGTACGCTAAGTAAGGAGCTTGTTGGCCACCACACCAACTGGCACTGCCTACTGCCAAAGACAGGATTCTAAGAAAACATGAACCCAGCTGGTAAGACTGTATTAACTGGAACTATCTTCATCTCTCCTGGGCTTGCCACAAATCATTTTTTGAGTGGTTTAAGACCTGAAAGTGAAACAGCCATTACAAAAACATAAAAAATGAAAATCTCTGCCTAAATTTCCAAACTTCACAGAAAATACATGTATATTCTAGGGAGCAACATTTTAAAGCAATTAATAGACTTTTTAATTGTAGAGAGTTATCAGTGTATATGGCTTCTCTTAATGACATTTGAATATAACAACCCCTTGTAATTACCACCTTACATTAATGCTGTTCTCATGGGGTGCTGCAAAAACCTGCACGATCACCTACAGGGAGACTGGAGGACAGAGTGGGTAGGAACACAGCCCAGCCAGAAATACACAGCGGAACTTAATCACTGTAATTTAGATTCTGTCACCAAGTCCCAGGTACAAGCTCTTTTATGCACTGTCAAGAGATCTCCACATTAATTGCTGTTCCTGTCTTCTGAGGACACAAACACTCTAATTTGCAGTGATTTTAGTTTCTCCAGCAATGTGCATTTGGTGGCTAAGTCCCCCTTTCCTCCAGAAAAGGAAGTCTGCGAAAGCTCTGATTATCCAGCTCACTCTGCCAAGATCAACTGACTGAAGTCACAAAGCATCCCGGTTTACCAGAGTCTAGAAATGGATGTGACTCAGGCGATCAGTGGGTGGGCAGCCCTGCCCTCCTTCCTGAAAGGCCACATTCTTCTCTTCTCTAGTAAGTTTGACTTTCAGCAGAAGAGTTATCTCTAAGTGATGATTTAAATGATTTCTGCGTGGTCAGTTTGAAGCAGAAAATGTGGATAATCCTTCAAGGCCTTCGGGCAGCCTCAGTCAGCACATTCAGATAATGCCAGGTGCCTACTTCTCAGGGGGGACTTTGTAGAGCCCCTGGGATTTGTCAGATTTGTTAGATGGCACGGCTGACATTTTGAGCTTTGCCTTCAGAGGCCCAGCCCTTTCAACCTTAGTCCATGGTGAAACTATTTTAGACAAGACCTCTATAACTGACTTTCTCTTGCCATCAAATTAGATCAGAGAGAGATCCCCAGAGGGAACATCATTCTTAAAAAGACATCCTCCTTTCAAAATGAAGAAGTGAACACCAAAGAGGTAGGAGTCAGGCTAAACGTAGAGACCACAGGGAAACTATTTTGGAAAAATGTTCTAAGTCAATGCACAGGCTGGAGTTGATGAGATGGTGGAGCATGCCCCAAACAGCAAGTAAATGTCATAATTCTGTGCCATGTGATTCTGCGACCATATTACATTATTATGGTATTTGATGCTCGCTTTCTGTTCTACTTTTCCTAACACTTCCTTAACCCACTTGAATCAAACATTCTATTTTCTGAATTGTGGAAAGGCAACTGGGTGCCTGGACTCAAGAATACCAGGACTACTTTCCCAATTGCCTTTTTGTTTAGGGGCTGAGTACTTTCCAGACCTGTGACAATCACAATTTAGTACTGCAGGGTGGGAGTGGTAAACAGAAACAAAACTTGTGAAATGCATCATACCCAACCGCCAACTTGGAATTTTAAAAGACAGGAAGCTCAACAATCTTATCAGTAGCAACATAGAAACAATGAGAGAACTGAATGTCTAACTGATCAAGTTAAACCATCCAAATTAAGAAGAGGATGTTCTCTCTCATTAAGATTATCTGGGGTTTACTAACAGAGTATGTGCCTGGGTTCTCATTTGAAAAGTGAAACTAAATTCAGCTTCTCTGCTATTTTTCTTTAGGACATAATAATAACAGAGGCCCAGACGACAGTAAGGTCAGATGCTGTCACACCAGCTGAACAGCAATGGACAATAATAATAGGTAAAAGGAGAAACCACCAGAGATATCAACAGGCCCAAAAAGATAGTGATGGAATGTTTCCCCTAAAAGGAAGAATCTTGTCATATTTTGGATTTTAGGCTCAAATCCAAAAGAGGAAATAAAAAATAGTATTTATTTTGCCTATCAGAGGGATCTCCAAGGATACAGAGGAATGTGCACTCTTCTATTCTGAAAGGTAGATGGGATGTGTCTAATTTTAGCCACACTTTTCTATTGGATAACCCCACCCTCAACACATCACCGTCAGGAGCCAGTTAACAATCACATACGGACATTGGGTAAGTGAAGCTTTCTGATAGAGAGGCAGTGTAAAGAAGCGTCTAGCATCATGAACAATGCCATGTGAGTCTTAGAAAAGACCCTTCTCTTTTAAAAAGATGGCCAAGATTTCCTTTTATATTTTCAAGAGACTGTCCCATTCTATATTCTCTATCACTACCTGAAAGCCAAAATTATAAAATTCTTCTCTAATTCTGGTATGAATTAGGAAAATTTTCATAAACTCAAAACTTTACAAAGAATAAATCTGAAAACTTTTCTCATAGTTTAAAATAATGCATTAGGATTGTAGGAATAAAGTATTTTGGTGGCAAACAAAAGGCTCTAAATACATATAAATAACTGTCACTGCATGAAAGACCCCCTTTCTTTATACACCACTGAGGAAATTAAAGTGGGATGAGGCCGGAAGTCACCGTGGGACGGGGCTGGGAATGGAGTGGCAGAAGGAAAGGGCAGTTACCTCGAGTGGGAAGCAGCGTCATTTATGCTGAAAGTGCTGTTCTCCCTGGTCAGAGGGTTTGAGCCGGCCTGGCTCTTGCTGTGGACATCCAGGCTCAGGGAGGACTCTGCTTTCCGGTCCATGCCATGGCTGTCTGTCTCTAAAGTCCGATCTGCCATGGAGATCACTTCACTGGAACTGTGCCACAGGGGTGCCACTTTCTCCTTGCCTGGCCCCGAGCGAGGTGACGACGTGGCAGCCCCCAGGGAGGCCGTGCTGCCGTGGCTGGGGCCATAGGAGGTGGTGTCGATGCCACTGTCGGCGGAGGTACCTTGCAGATAGTTGTAGCTGTTGAGCTCGGATTCTGTGCGGTCCCCGTCATACCACTTCTCGTCACTGTGGGCGCTCGAGGCGTTGCTGGAGAGTGTATTGCTGCTGGAGTGGCTTGAGTAGTGGCTATCAGACTGCAAGGGAAGCAAGACTGACTTAAGTGCAGGTTTTGCTTCTTGAACACCAGGGAAAAAAATAACAGGGGAACGACCCTGTGAAATGTGTCTAGTTATGGGGTTTTCAAGGCACAAAAATTCCTATGATGACAAACCAAATAAGACAGGAGGGACCCAGAAAAATCTGTTCAGATGTGTCCATAGCAGAGAATGCTGGAAACGTTTTTTTTAAGCATCCATTTTTCATTATTTGATTTATGCTAAAGTGTCAACAGTCTTGAGATCATTTTCATCAGAGAAAAAACCTAAACTGTTTAGTATCTTAATCTTCAAATAGAAAGGAAATGACACTTCCAAAGGGCTTATAATTAGAAAAGCCGTATTACTGACTAAATAGGAGGCTGAATGTAAGACTTATTCCTAAACAGATCTCCTTTCCCTTCCCCAATTAGCATCTATTTAGGAGGCAGCTTTCTAAGGAGTGCTTAGAGGTAAAATTTATCAGATGTGCCAAGACAATTCAATGGGGGAAAAATAGTCTTTTCAACAAATGGTGCTGGGACAGCTGGATATCCACACGCAAAAAAGAACGAAGTTGGATCCTTATCACATAGAAAAATAAACTAGAAAAGATCAAAGACCAAAATGTAAGAGCTAAAACTATAAAACTCTTAGAAGAAAACATAAGCATGTATCTTTGTGACCTTGGATTATGCAATGGTTTCTTAGATATGACACCAAAAGCACAAAAAATAAAAGAAAAAAATAGATAAATTGGACTTGATCAAAATTAAAAACTCTTGTACTTCAAATAACCCAATTAAAAAATGGGCAAAGGATTTAGATAGACATTTCTTCAAAGAAGATATACAAATGGCCAACAAGCACATGAAAAGATGCTCAATATCATTAATCACTAGGGAAATGCAAATCAAAACCACAGTGAGGTAACACTCCAGACACACTAGGTTGGCTCTAATCAAAAAGGCAAACAGTAATGATGGTTGGCATTATTGGTAGGAATGTAAAGTGGGTAGCCACTGTGGGAAAACAGTTGTAATTCCACTCTTGGTATACAGAGAAATGAAAACACATTCACACAAAAACTTCTACATGAATTTTATAGTAGCATTTATTCAGAATAGCCAAAAAGTAGAAACCACCCAAATGTCCACCAACTGATGAATGGATAAAAAAATGTGGTATGTCCATACAATGGAATATTATTCAGTCATAAAAAGAAATGAAGTACTGATACATACTACAATACGGATGAAATGTGAAAAAAAACAAGCCAGACACAAAAGGCCACATATTGTATGATTCTCCATTCATATGAAATGCCCAGAATAGATAGACACATCCATAGGGACAGAAAGTGGATTAGTGGTTATTGAGGGCTTGGAGGGGATGAAAAGAGTCAGGGTAACTGCCTAAGGATACAGGTTTCTTTCTGGGATGATGAAAATGTTCTGGAATTAGATCAAGGTGCTGACTGCACAACTCTGTGAATATACTAAAAATCACTTAATTGTACACTTTAAATGGGTGAATATTATGGTATGGAAATTACATCTCAATTAGAAAAATGTGTACAGAACCCTTTCTACACAGTGGCTTAGTTGCTTAGTTTTATAGTTTACCAAAGAAATAAGATTTCAAAAGATATCTGGACAAAATAATATTTTAAATTAGATGGAGGCAGGAAGTCCAGATACTTGGTGGAGAGTAAGAGAGAAAGAATTGTGTGTGTATGTCTGTCTGTCCATCTGTCTCTTGCCTGAGGAAGGAACATGCTCTTCACCAGCTGTGGGTAGGGGACAGGAGGAAAACACTCCAGTTTCACCTCAAAGCGAAACATCTCTTCTCCTTAAAAACAATCAAGCCCAGTTACTTTACTGATGCTACTCAAGTTTTTCTCGGCAACAACTTTTATGTTAATAAAGCCTTCATTTATTTTTAATATTTGTAGGGCAGAACTTCTCTAGCTCTGTACCTGTGCTGTAGAATTTGCCAGCCTCTAGTCATGGGTGGCTACTGAGCACTTGAAACGTGGCTAGTCCAAGATGTGCTGAGGTATAAAGTATATAACAGATTTCTATAGAAATATAGTGTGATCCACATTGTCATTTTAAATATTCTAGTAGCCTGATTTTAAAAAGTAAAAAGAAACAGGTGAAATTAACTTTAAGAATATAGTTTATCTAACCCAACCTATCCAAAATATTATTTTACCATGTAATCAATATAAAAATTATTAATGGAAGAGGGGAACTGACAGATCGACTGGGATAATCTATCATTTACAACATCACGTTTCGTCAGTAAACCTCTCCCCCTGCAGCCTAGCACAGGGGGCTAGCTCATGCATGCGCCTGTATTCTCTCCTGTTTTTTTAACTTCAATATTCATCTCACTAGAGCAAAATCTACATGAGCCCTCTCATTAAAAGTTCTCTGAGCATCTTATAAATTAGTGAGCGTGAAATATAGTACTACCTCAACATATACAATGACGTAACTATAAATACACATTCCAGTGAACACACAGATGAAGGAAATCAACTTCATTTAAAGGGGGAGGAATTGATAACCTCTTATTCCCAATTCTACCCTAAGTGATAAGGAATTGTATATTACTATGGTAAAAGGACAAAACTGTGTATCGCTGTGGAAGATAAAAGCAGCAGTAGGGGGAGTCCTCAGGAAGCTCTCTGTCTGTCCCCTTGATGGATGCTCCAAGCATATCTCATGCTTACAACTGTGTAAACAAATAAAATCCACTTCTAGCACATTTCTATTCCTATCACTTTAGGATTGTTTGTTATTGCATCAGATGGGCTTCTATCCAGATCTGTGTGGGTAGCAGGTGCGTACCCATGAGGAATTTCAATTCATCTCAAAGCAACCTTAGGGCCACTGGCAGCAGGAATTCCAGGGCCATGGCAGCAAATGCCCACCTTGTGCCAGGATGACCTCCTCTTTGACCATGTGGAAGAAAGAGCAGAGCAGACCTGTACCATTTTCACATTGCAAGGAGAGTACATTGCTAGGAATCTATTATTTTACAATTAACTTACATGCCCTTGTTTGTTTGGAGACAAATGAACCACTGGATCCTGCCGCATTAATCTCCCACTGGGGCTCTCTCGGAAAGCTGGCAGTACCTTTGATACTGCTGGGAGATGGCATGTTGGCTCTGGAATACAGCACAGGATGTTATGGTGCGGGCACCAAACAGATATAGGCACATGTTGACAAACGAGGACGGCTTGCCACTGCATCTCTCAGTTCACTGACCAGCAAACTCTGAATTTCAGCAATAAGCTTGTTGAGAGTTTACACAAGAGACAGCATGTCAGAAACTAAGTGGCTGATGGATAAAGCTTGCAGATGGTGACAATGTGTCACGTCATACACATTAGCATAGCCAAGTACCACCAAACCAAAGGCCATGAACAATGCGGCAAAGTTAGGAATCAACTTTTGGTTTGGGGGGGAAAGTCTAGAATATATGGATTAAATTTATGAAATTCATTAATTGCGAAGTGTGGCTAACCTAGCTTGGTCTACATTACCTGGACAGGCATGGATGCAATCACGTGTTACTTACCATGACACTTTGGAAATATTTTACCTGTATATTCATGCTGATCGAGGACAAAAGAATTGAAATCCTGAGGTCCTCTATAACTGTAAGCTAAGCACAACAGAAAAGACACACAGCAACTAGTTTACTTAAAACAATTGCTTCCTTTTGGACTCCAAGCTGGCGTTCAAGATGGGGTTCCAAAGGTGACAGGCAAGCAATTTAGCTTCTTTAACACACCTACAGCTAACAGCAACAATTCTAGACTTTTGCAACACCATTCCTAACACATAAAGGACTGGGTAACATGCTCTTTGATTCTCTCAACCATTTCCAAAAGTAGAGAGGCAGAAACACCAACATCCACTGAGATGAGTGAGCCAATTAAGCAAGCTCAACTCCTTGTCTCCATTGGGGTACCAGTTTATAACACGCTGATGTACAAAGACAAGTGGGTCTGGCTAACAAATAAGAATCTCCTCAACATTTTCAATCAATGACCTGAAAGTCATTAGAGAATTTTGTTCTTACAAATTGAGTGTATAAAGGTCAGCCCTTCATACACTCAATATAGTGTACTCAGTAATGAGAATGTCACAATGATTTTTCTTGATTTCTCCCTAGCATGACTTATACCAATTAAGCCCCTGATTCCTTCCGATGTGTCAACTAGAAAAGACTGGGTTATTCTTCTAAAATGGTAGAATACCAAAAATTATCAGAATTTATTTTATTTTAACATTTTATTTGAAGCCTTAGATTTTAGATGGAGAAAAGCCACCACTTGGTAAAAAAGGCTTCTCTGGCAGGTTCTAGGAGTATCTTATTTAAAAAAAAATGTATACCTTACCAAAAGGATGAACAAATGTGTTAAAAAGATTCACTGATATTAATTTCAGAGTCTTATCTATTAAGAGTGGGATGCCACTGAACTAAAGTGGATGCAACGAAAAAAAGACTCGAGGGAGGTTTTTGTGAAAGAATGAATACGGTCTAGGACGAACCTTATAATTACCCTTTCCAGTCCCAAGATCCCTTTTCATTCCCCATGTGACTTCACATGAGTGGGAAGTGTGACACTGAACACCGCACAAAGGGCTTGCTGGCAGCTTTGTTCAGAGCCTGCACTAGGAGCCAAAAAAAGCTGCTAAAGTCATGCTGAAGAAGGGATCCTTTTCACATGTGTCGTTACCATCTCAACAGTATCAAAACATACGGGATTAAAAACCTTCTGTCAGGAGCAGAACAGCAGATCAGAATATGCTCAGGTTTTTTGTGTTGGGGTGGGTGGGATGAGAGTGGGGAATGACAGATGGCTTCAATAACAAGGCACATCTCACTGAAGTTGCTGGAACAAAGCATATCTTCAGAACCTAAGAATTACAGTTCTCTTCCTCCACTACTGTCTTAGCTGAATGCATCTCCACTCCCTCCCATGTTCACGGTTAGTACATTTACATGGGCACAGTCATTAAAACACAACCAAACAATGCGTTTGCAGAGAAGATAAAAAGATGGGTCTTGTCTTAAAAGTTTCTCTTTTTTAGCCCTGAAATTTGCTTCTTTTTATCCCACATTGACAGTACTACTACTAAAAATAAAATAAAGAGGGAAAAAAAACACCTAACAGTCTAGATTCAAGTCCCTGATGTATCAAATGTGTTGATACTAAATCAACTGTGTGGATGCTACTGTGTTGAAACTTAATCTTGTTTCATGGAAAAATTTTATTGTATCAACTAGTGTTACGGTGTCACAGCAGAACAACTGCTTAGAGAGAGGGAAAGAGAGAAAGGGCTGTGTGCCAGAAATCCAAATGAAGACTTACTAACGCAAGCCTTTCCCACCCAGCTGTTTTATACTGCAAAGACATGTCCTTAGCTGACAGCTTAATAGCAGACTGAGGGGGGAAAAGCATATGAGGAGGAAAGAGATCTAACCAAGCTACAGATGTGACTCAACAACAACTGTATCTCTTTCCCACTTTGTACGTGTTTTTTTGTTTTTTTAAACTCGACATGAAGAATACCAAGGAATCTCTCAGCGTACTCATACTAGGCAAGAACAGACAAACAAACAGACAAGGGGAGAGGGAGGTAATTAGGACACATGTGGTTTGGAAGTCTGGCACTTGAATCTTGGTGCTGAAAATAATTCCTATGTCCTTTCTGTTTTTAAATTTGGGGTCACTTAGAATTCTTTGACTTTTCTCTCAGGTCTTCTTTGTTGCTTTCATTTATACATAATCTAACCGAGACCTCGTTCTCATTCACATTTATTAACCAGGGCTGTATTATACAACAGAATGCTTTGATGACATCAAGAGGTGGCCAAAGTCACCTTGGTGTAAAAGCAACTTGCTTTTTGCAGAAATTAGTTACTTACCCATCTGGTCGGCAATGCTATCTTCACTTCTTTGCCAGTTGGGTGTGGATTTTCCGCTGCCACCACCAATATCTGACTGGGTGTTCTGCCTGTCAATGGAGGCTGGGGATCTGCGGCTTACTCCAAACCTGTGGCGATTTCCCCAGACAAAGGCAAAGACGACATCAGGGATCTCACCCATAAGGGGAAAGCAGTCCTGAGTGTAATGAACTAAACTCTCACGACAGGTACTACTAGTTTTGCTTGCATGTCTGGACTTGTGTACACATCCTTGTGCATGTGTACATGGGTACAGAATGGTGTATGTTACAGTCAATATACATCCCTGTGTTCAGAAAGGTATGTACCCTAGGTATATAAACTGTAACAAGGGCAGGAGCCATTAGGACTGAGCTAACCTAAGATATATAGACTAAGAAACTAAAATCTTCTAGCTGTTGGGAAGCCAACTTCAGGCTGTAAAACTCAAAGACTCATGTGGAAATTTACAAATTTGTGTGTGCTTACTAAGGAACATATGAGTAATCTATACAATAAAACACTAAACAGGGCCTGAATTAACTGATGCATGTGATGGGTGTCTTATTTGCTACACACTGATAATCACATGGGGAGAACCACCAAGGGGTATATTGGAAAGAGCAGGAGATTAGGAGGAGGAAGACTCAGAGCCAAGTCCAGCTCCCCCACCCAAACTCACTCCGGTTCTGTCTCCATTTCTTCATCTGTAAAATGGCAATTCTATTTTATGGATTCAGGGAGAAAAATCTATACAAAAGCATTTGCAAAGTAGAGAAGGCCATAAAATACTTTTAAAAAACTCCCACTATAGCCTCTCCCCAGTTACTTTTGCACAAATAACAATCATTTACAAACTCAATCACATGCCTCACTAAACAAAATTACCTCTGTTATCAAAAAGAAACAAAAACCTTGATTTATGAAAACTTCAGTAAAAGCGCTCATTTAAAAAAAATTTCACTAATTCTGCTCTTTGCCATCTCTTCCCTAAGTAGGGTCCTTGTTTAGTTTAGGACAGTGAATATCCTTGAAATGGCCCTATGATCCTATGCTAACTTTGCACTAAATGAAGACTTTTTAAAAAAGGCACCGTGGGGCCAGCCCCGTGGTATACTGGTTAAGTGCGCGTGCTCCGCTGCTGGTGGGCCCGGTTTGGATCCCAGGCATGCACCGACGCACCGCTTGTCAGGCCATGCTGTGGCGGCGTCCCACATAAAGTGGAGGAAGACAGGCACAGATGTTAGCCCAGGGCCAGGCTTCCTCAGCAAAAAGAGGAAGATTGTCATGAATGTTAGCTCAGGGCTGATATTCCTCACACACACACACAAAAAAAACGTACCAAGACAAAAGTCAGAAATCGATTCTAACCTTGCTTTTACTTTTTGGTAGCAGTGGAAACTAAAGACAACCTTTTAAACCTCCAAATTTAAAGCTAAACACTTTTCTGGCTGCCTGGTTTTCAATAAACGATAAAGTAAGGCTATCTGTAATTAATTCTGCTTTGACAAATATTTTCACCAATTAATTTTTAATTTCAGTTCTCACATACACCCCTCATTTGTTGTGTGCCAGGGGATTAGAGATACAAAGATCCCATCCTTGAGGCGCTCAGACAAAACCTGTCCATACTTCACATTGGGCCTTCTTTGAAGAGCTTAATTGTGCCTTTGTTTTGGAGGAGCACTTAATAGTTTAGGAGTCACAGTTCAGATCTGAAGGAGTTTTTAAGTAACCATTTGGCTGATACATGAAACATGTTCAGTGACCAAGAAAACTCTACCTCATGAGCCAGTCCACTGCTCTCCAGAGAAGGCTGACGGCTTTGAAAAGCTTCCTCATAATGGGTTGGACACTTCTTCTCTCTAACTTTCATTTATTGGTCTCTGCTGCCCTCACAGACAAGTTTAGTCCCTCATCTAAGAGTGCTGGAAGAAAGCTATGGCGGCCCCCTCACCTCCACGATTCTCACCTTCACGTTGTACATCCTCAGTTATGTTTCTCACACCATGGTCTCCCAACTCCTCATTTATCTAGTCCGTCCCTCCCTCTGGACACACCCTGCCTCGCCAACATTCCTCAAAGTGTGTGGCCCAAAACTACATCTCCAAGGATGGCAGAACAGACCCTAGCCTTTTCAACAGCACTGCTTTTTAACTGCCTCTCATTCCCATCCTAAGCTTGTGCAGGTGCCTTCCCCCGCCATGTAAGTCAAGTAGGTATTATTAAACTTCCTAGTAAATTCCACCTCTCAACTGATTTGGATGGTCTCAATATCCTCACACAGCGAGTGGGCAGGCACACATCATACCCACACAGATGGTAGCCCCACTGAAGCAGAGGGAGGGCCACAAAGGAGCAGATTACATTTACGGACAATAATTGCGTACTGACCTATTGTTCTTAGCTCACGCTTTCGAGCTTTTTCATGAGTTTGCAGCAGACTACATACATTCCTGCTTCACTATCAACTTGTACATATCTGTTTTTACTGGGCTAAGTTGCAGAGTAGATGTAATCATTTCTCCCTTGGTAAGGGTACCTTTAGGATCAAACCTAGCCCATGAGCAATGCATATGAATCAGAGAACCACTGTCTCCTATGTCACTGATACAGGCAAAAACCGCTTTCAATCTAGAGGAAAACCTTGTATCATCATCTTCTTGTAAAAATCGCCCCAGGTAAAAAAGATGTTACACGGTAAAATAAATAATCTCTGGGTAACCTCACAAACAATGGAGGGAACCCTCAGTACCACCTATGGTAGGGATAGTATGAAATACCAAGTTGAACAATTATCACCTCATTAAAAATACTGTGCAGCATGGGCACTGGAACCACATTTCTAACATTAATATTCACCAAAACATTAATGTTTCAACCTAGATTTTGGTATACCTTTAAAGTATATCATCACTTTAAGTCATCAGAAGAAAATAATGCTTTTTTGTTGTGTTAGCTCTTTTGTATTTTACTGCTGTACAAACACTAAAGTTGCAGTGAATTCCTATCTTTGAAGTCAAACCAGACCATTTAAAATTTACTAATTAAAATAAGAAATAATGAGTTAGGCTTGTGGTGCGGCACAATAATAATAGTTAACTCATAAAACCTTTTGCAGGGAGTCATGAATAAGAGCTGAAATTTTTTTTGTAATTGTCACTAAAGTAATTAAAATAAGAAATGTGCATGTTAGAGATGCGACAAAGGAATCCTGAGGGAGATGTGGGCTGGGGGTGGGAAGCATATTTTATAGTGGTTTTATTACCTACTTTCTGCTAACATAAACATTTAACAACAACAACAAAATTATATTTAACGGCTGTAAAAACCAACAAAATACTATAGGATAAAAAATACCCATCATGAAGGTATTCTGAGTAAGCATGATTCTTTTGTAACACGGTAAAATCTCAAGAAAGTAGACAAATCAGGTGTGTATTTGTTAAAAATATATTTCGGGAAAACTTAGACTAGAAACATCAGTTTTTTTAAGCACCTCACATTTGATTTTCAAATGGTTCAGAGTTCTTCGTCAAGTTCCCCCAGGAGCTATCGCAGCTGGAAGTCTTGATGGTCCTCTTCCTCTGCGCAAAGGCGGCTGGTGTGTGCCACGTAAGGTTTTGCTGCTAATTACTTCCCAGCCTCAGACATTCTAGTTTTTTTCCCCCTTTTTAGTAGCCTCTAAAACCATGTCCATTTAGCTTTTCACTTGTAAGTCTTGTCAGAAGCAAATAGCTACTTTTGGGTGTTTAGTGTTTTCAAAAAAGATGAAAAAAAAAAAACCAAACAACTCACAGGCTGTAATCACAGAAGACTTTTAAAGTGTGAGAAAAATAATTTTAAGCTTAGATATGAAGATCGTTTCCCGTACTTTAACAGCAATACAAACTCCAACCAGCGCAAACAGTATACTACTGAGTTCACTTTGGAGGAAACATTAAGAAGTGACAAAATCTGTACTATGAAACTAGACAATATATATAATGGAGAAATTGATGTAATTTGATTTCTCTGCCATTGAGTCCTTAGAGACTAGAGAATGATAAACTTCCTAAGAAGTGGTTTGAACCAGCCATTAAAACATTTTTCTATCCGGAATATTAACCACATTTTCCCTTTAGTTCTTTTGTAAATTGATCAAGGCTGGCTAAATGGATGTCACTTCACATGTCTGAATTACAGAAGAAAGACAGTGATGTCAACGGGGACCATGCACAATGTGGCCAATGGCATACCTACCCTTCGGGCATGGATTTTTGCCTGTAAGTGCCCCCACCAGAGCCAGTCTCGCTGGATGAAGACAGGTTGCTAGGGGAGTTACGACACTGCTGGGATCTTGCTAAAGCCATGGATGAGACCGTCACATAGATGTCTGATCCAGGAGACAGCCTGTGTGTGCAAACCAAAATATGAAGTCAACAATTTAAAGGGAAAACCCCAAGGCAATGCATGCTGGATAATATCATGCAAATGCGACAAAGGCAGCAACTTCATGGAGACAGTGAAAATGAAGCCAGCTGGAAGCCTACAAAAGAAACTTCCCTGTGAAACTACTCCCTATGGAAACAGCTGGAAAACTGTCTTGAAGGGGGCAGGGGTTGGGGGCGTCAAAAAATAACAGGGGAAAAAAACATGTATGTTTCCAAAGGCTGCCAGAATTCAATGGGCTGAATGGCTTATGCACTTTCCTAGTATAGCAGTGCAGAGGATAACTGAACCCCACTGACATTAACACAGCAATTAATTCCAATTTTTCACATGGTTCTCCCAGAGTATATGACCACAGTGAGACGTACATTCTTTGTATGCTTCGTTTTCCAATTTTATTACTCAAAGTCTGGAATGAAAATGAAGATTTTCCTATTTAGTATTTATACATGTCATTGATAGCAGCTTCACCATACAAAAACCTCAATGAAAAAATGCCTAGAGTTGCAGTTGTTGAATTTAATTGGAATTGCTGAATTTATATAATATCACAGTAGCGGGGGCTCCGCACAGCCACCTAACACGTGTATTTCTAAAGTTGTGGATCCTTCATCCTGCTGACTGGCTCTTTTTTTTTGTGAGGAAGATCAGCCCTGAGCTAACATCCATGACAATCCTCCTCTTTTTGCTGAGGAAGACCTGCTCTGAGCTAACATCTATTGCCAATCCTCCTCCTTTTTTTCCCCTTTTTCTCCCCAAAGCCCCAGTAGATAGTTGTATGTCATAGATGCATATCCTTCTAGTTGCTGTATGTGGGACGAGGCCTCAGCATGGCCGGAGAAGCGGTGCGTCGGTGCGCGCCTGGGATCCGAACCCAGGCCGCCAGTAGCGGAGCGCACACACTTAACCACTAAGCCACGGGGCCGGCCCCTGTTGACTGGCTCTTGAGATGGAAACTGGTGCTTTGTGGTCAGGACAGACGTCTATTTCTTCCCTCTACCTCCTCTACTCTAGTTGGCAACGGGGCAACTGCTCAGATATCAGTGATGCTGACAACTGTGATTAGGTGTAAACTAAACCTTAATAACGATGATCTTTTATCTCAGAAGCAAATGCTGGCACAAATCATTTGACTCTTGCAGCAGGGCAGGCCATTTTGATTCTATAGCAGAGGGGGTGGAATTGAAGTCATTCGTCCAATAAGCCAGGCCTCTCGATTCTAAGTCCACCACACTCCATGCTAAACTATTGCTGTCCCCTAGGGAAGGCTGGGTTTTCTTTTCTTAATAAGACTGTTTGCTATGGGTCTGCATGGTCAGACGATTTTGTATGTAAAGGTACCTTATACTCAAGCCCAAGTTCTGTTTTTTTTTTTTTTTTTAAAGATTTTATTTATTTATTTTTTTCCCCCCAAAGCCCCAGTAGATAGTTGTGTGTCACAGCTGCACATCCTTCTAGTTGCTGTGTGTGGGACGCGGCCTCAGCATGGCCAGAGAAGCAGCGCGTCGGTGCGAGCCCGGGATCCGAACCCGGGTCGCCAGCAGTGGAGCGCGCTCACTTAACCACCAAGCCACGGGGCCGGCCCTCAAGCCCAAGTTCTGAAGCCTTAGATCCTGATTCACTGAAATACAGCAGTTGCCTACAGAGAACCTACGAACCTCGTGTAGCAGGGCAGGATGGGGTTTCAGGTACAGGAAGCTGACAGAAGGAGTTAACAGAATCAAAATGAGAAGCTTTTCTAACAGAAAAAGAATAAGAGCAGATAACAACAAGTATGACTCCCAGATCCATCTATGCCCAAGGGGCAGATCTCTGACTTGAGAGCCAGATCCTTGTCCTCAGGGACAAACCTGTCATCTCCAGCTGCCTCCTAGATATCTCCACTGAACACCCTCACCGGCAATTCAAATCAAATCTCTTAAAAACAGAGTTTTTCCATTCCTTCATCCCCTAATACCCCAAACCTGTCCCTCCTATATTTGTTATCTCAAGCTAAACATTTTGAAGCCATTTTCCTCCTCCCCTTTCCTCATCTTCTACAGTCAACTGGTCTACTTAAGTCTAACTATTTACTGAGCACAAACTGTGTGTCAGGCACCTGGGTGCTAGTCTTGAAAACACAAAGACAAAGAGGATAACTGGTCTCCAACCTGCTGATTGTCCCCAAGCCCCCCCACTTCCGGCCTGGATCAGTACAACAGAGCTCTATCTGGTCTTTCCACTTCCCGGCTCTGTCCACCCCACACCTCCAAGCCCCCTACCATCCCAAGTCATCTGACTGCTAACACCTCTCCATCAGAGCTTCCCTCTGCCTACAGGATAGAGGACCAAATCCCTGGCTTCCTCTTCCAGGCCCTGGACCATCTCCCCCAAGCCCATCCTCATCTCCAAGCTCTTTACCTGCCTCCAAGCACCCTGCATTCCGGTCACATTCAGTGTGCCCCAGTTCTCAGACTCGCCCACCATATTCATACCTTTATTTATCTTGTCCTTTCTGCCTGGAATGCCATCCCCCTTTTTTACCCACATAAAATCCTTTTGCTCCAAGGCCTAATTCCAACATCATACCTCTGAATTCATAGATTAATTAGAACCTCCTCGAGTCTGGCAATGGTCTGTTCTTTGCACCATTGTAGCACATCCTATAGAATGGTTAGTTTTACCAGTGTCTGTTTCCCTAACTAGATTCTGTCCTTAAGGGGCAGGACTGAGCCTTATGTATCATTACATCTCTGGTTACTTGATACATGTTTGAAGAAGAATACACGATGATCTTCACATTCTTGCTGCTTAATATACGAATGAAGGAGAATCCCTATCAGCAGCGTAGAAAATGAAGAACAGTAGGAAGGTTCAGGATAAGGGCCTGTAGTTACATCAGATGCCCCAAGCCAGGGGTTCTCAACCACAGTGGGTCTATATCAGTTGAAAAACAGTGGGTCGCTAACAATAAAGCGCCAAAATCTGTGAATAATTTACTAAAAACAATTATAACAAAGTTAATATGCTTTCTTAAATGTGAGAAAAGGCGATGATGGAATTATGCTAGACACCCTTTTGTGTGTCATCAATCTGACATATAATGGTGAGAGAACTTACTGACAATGCCTACTCTAGGTAGTGCGAAATGGGCAAATAAGGACACTAAGGATGCTAGGTTCCTGAGCACTGTGATGAGAAGCTAGGAAAAGAGGCAGGGTTCCTAAGCTCCCCTATTACCATCACCAATCTTGTTACTGCTACAGACTCAGAGAAATATGGGCTAACCACACGGCTGGCAGCCTCACTAGGTGCCAGGCTCAGGAGAGGGGTATGTGTGGGGCAGCCATGGTGGGGTCAGAGACTAGTGGGGTCTTGGAACACTAGCTCATCCCTACTTTGGGTGATGTGTTTTGATAAGAGAAAGATCAAGACATTTATCTGGGTCCCATAAAATGGATATCCCTATATTCTTTTCCATTAAGACATTTCCCAAATTTCTCACTATTTATTCTGAAGTAATTGGAAGGGGACCAGAGGAGGGGAGGAAGGAGAGGGGTAGGTTACAAAGACGGACAACCAGGTAAGGATTAAGGAACAGCAAGAATGCAAATATAACAAGAGACCACACTCCTTTCTGCCTTAAGAGTTTGACTTTATAGGCACGGAATACAGAAGAACTTCCAATCCAGTTTCGTTTTGTAGCTGGTCTGATGTCCTTACTGTGAAAACGGGGAGGTGTTTCAGAAAGATGGAAAAAAAGGAGACGGCAGTAGAATGTTAACGTGCTTGGGGCCGATGCAATATCTTGGGGCCTGATGATTTTTTAACTTTCCTCGGGGTAAACAAGTGATGCCAATGAATTATATTTATGGTGCAAGTTAAAATGTTTATGCTTCTATGGGAAGTGACAACATGATTCCATAGGAAAAGTCAAGATGTAACTTTTATATCTGTATTTAGAGCTTGCTTTTCTTACCCTGCTCTCCAAAACAGACACTAAGCTAAAATATCTCATGCTAGTTCTCAACCTAAGCTCTTTTATTTGGCAGATGTCTCAGAAAATTCTACTTGGTTACTGGAGTTATCCCAAAGTGAAAAAATAGCATTTCCAGAAGGCCGGCATTCATTCCCATCCCTTTTCTGCATTTATATAACTCAATAGCGGCTTTGTTTTCTGACTCTTCACACACACAGAACACACATACAGCAATTCACGGAATGCCACCCAAATGTTTTTACGACTCTAGATGTATGTATGGTGGGCAAAAAAAAAAGTCAGAATTATCCCTTATTCTGATGACTTACTCTTTTCCAAACACTGTGAATCTGATACCATCACACAAATGTTATCCGAGAGCAGACCTAGTTTAGGCAATGAGGTACCGCCTGCCCGGCACTGGTGTCCACTTCCGCCAGAGAGAGATCGTTACTGGAAGGTGAGCTGGTTACTGTCTTGCCACTTTGAAAAAAGTACCCCCCCAAATTGGCTCAAATAGGAAGCCAGCATGCTGGCCTCTTGAGTCTTTGTCCCCTCCACCCAGCCTATTTTAAGGGTTGCTGAGGCCAGTGAAGGGTTACTGCAAGATCACAAGTCTTTTCTTCTCTTTTGAGATAAACCCAGATCCTTCTACTTTCTCTTAGTCTTAATGAGCCCCGGACATTCTGGATGTTAATGCCCAAATAGGTTTAGAGGACTAAGATTAATACATCTTTCAATTGCTGTGAGATCTTTCAATTCTGTGGAATATAAAAAATAATCTTAAAAAAAAAAATGCTCTGGTCACGGTCAGAAAGGAAATTTCCAAACCTTTTAGCATTAATTTCAGTAGATTCTCTTCCCTACATTCGTATAAATTTAGCCAAGGAATAACTAAATACTTTTAAAGTAACCGACATTAAATGTTCTCTGGGGCGGCCTATTACTTCCTTCTGCAGAAATAAAACACCAGGGCTTTTTCATTGTATGAAGAATGCAACAA